ATCTTTTATTCGAATAGCAATTACAACGCTTTAACGAACAACTGACATTTTTCTTTGCTAAGCTACATCAGTGGCATACCTTTACAGTTTTCTGAATATACAAGTTCCTTCAAAAACGACTTCTCCGACTAGTTACGCATTGTCCCGTCAGTAAATTGTTTATCGACTACAAATCCTTACAAAACGAGAATCTGTAAAGCCTGAACGCAAACAGTACGAACGGTACTATCGTTGGAAGTACACGTAAGCCAACTCGTCACAATGGGCATACCGTTTTATGTGATAACTGGCAATGGGTAGGCACGTATGCATTGATAAATATGCAATACACGTTGCATTATTTATCAAATTCATCTAGAGAATCGTCAAATCCTAATTAAATTCTTCACGCCCTACAAACACAAAACATGATATCTTTGGTCTAAAAAAAATAAACAGGTATATTACAGGTATATTCAAGCTTACCTACAAAATTATCTTTGTCATAAAGAAAAGATTGATTGCTTTTTTTTCAAATGCTCGATGTAAAGACAATCATCACATATATCTCGTTAGGTATACCTCATACATATTACTTTTTGTTCAATAAAATGAATCATCAAAATAAATAAAAGCTAAATTATATGCTAACGACAGTACCGAAATGGCTTATATAGCAAATACTATTCGTAATATTTAAAACGATCACAGTAAAAGTATGAAAATTGTTTTTCTACATTTTCTGTTATTAATATTTGTAGTTATTAAAGTGGAAATTGATACTCAAATATCGATTTTGTTTTAAAAGCTTTTTATACCAATGTGTATTAATAAATTATTTTTTTGATAAAAAATGTATTCTTGATTTTATTCATTATTAACATGTAATCCATAAAGTTGCACAAAATCAAATATTCAAATACATTTGATACATTTGATACATACAATTCGATCCTACATACTTAAAACACGTTTTTAAAATATTGTTTCTCTATTTTTCTCTAAAAATCTCTTTTTATAAATTCAATACTTCAGATACAGAAGAAATTCTCGATTCAGCGTTTGGATCATACTTTGTATACAATTAATAAATTCGTTTTAATATTATCCTTCTCATTCATAATTTTTTCATTCATCATTCATTTAAAAATCTAAAAAAAAAGTTAACATAAGAATGTTCAAATTTTTCCATACATACGCTTCAATTCAATTTTAATAATCGCAATTTTGCCACAATACAACAAATCTAAAATCTGATATCCGACTCAATAAACGGATAAACGATGGGAAAAATATGCATTGCGCAAGAAAAGGCTATTGAATTTATGTCTTCCAAAACTTACCACTGACTTTGATACATTTGACCTTCTGTAACTTCTTCTTCTCTGATAGTACCGGCATGGCTTCTCTACCCGCTTCGCTTCCTCCTGCACCAGAACTACCACCAGCTATATCAGCCTCTTGAATGCCTCCGCCTCCTGCTTGAGCCGTGAGGGATTTCTTAATATTACTAATCTAAAATCCCCAAAAGAATATTTACAATATAAAATTATTTTTTAAATATAAACAATTAAGGGGACAAAAAGAGAGAAAAAAATATAACTTACATCTCTCTGTATCCTTTCTTTATGATAAGTAGCTTTTTGTTTCTCAACATTAGCTCTAGATATTTGTTGCTCAATACATGATAAAACCGTGTCACATGCTTCACCCCAAGCGGCTAATGTCTCAGCTACTACACCGGTATCACCCGGTCGGACGTCTCGTCCTAAACCAGCATAATCGACTTCTAACTGTGAATTTTTTTGATCCAATTTCCCATGAATTATATCAGCGTATATCGCTTCAATAATCAAATCTTCTAGATCTCTGACATTCTTTATGTCTAGTTCTTCCAATAATACCGAATAGGGTATACATTTGTTTTTTGTAGCCAAAGTGACTATCGTGAGATGCTGAAGCTTCTTTTTTTGTATAGGAGTTAACTCTAATACTTTCTCTTTATTTTCTAGGTAATCTTTATAGGTGCCATATGCAAATAGATTCAAAGTATTCCAATATTGAACATAAGGTCCGTTCTCTAATTCTTTGATGTTTGGCATATCCAATAATTCACCAAAAACATGAACGCCTGGCGTCTCGACGGCTTGTCTTATGAGCTCTATAGCGGCAGCGCCTTTTGCCGTTTTTGCAAGCAGTACAAACTGCTCCAAAGGATTATTAGCTGACTTTTCAGTAGTGTTTCCACCAGTCATGATGACTCCTAATAAATAATATTTATGAATAAAAAAAATTTCACATGCGAATAATATATCACAAAAATATATATATATATATATATATATATATATATATATATATATATATATATATATATACACTTTAAAGACAATAGACAAAATCGCCAATGAGAATAGAATAGAATATTCTGAGAGAAACGTCCTTTTCTTCTTGATAACGAAGTCTACAGTAAGTAAACAAAATGCTCTTGCGTCTGGCCGAGAGGTTAAGAATAAATTCGATGTTTGCCTTGTTACATGCACATCAGCGACGATCAATGCACATCGTGAGATGTAGTTGAAAGTAAACGCATAATAATAACATGAAAAACTCACTTCTTTGTTAGCAATATCACGGATATCAAAGATGATCGAAATTCTTCCTCGGCACTGTTTCAGGATCTTCAAATCGCGGCGTCGGGAAATAGTTTTCTTTCCAAATACCTGGGGACCTGGGGACAACGATCCCAGATTGCGAGAATTCTGAACATGCGCAGTGACACTAGTCTTCACAAACAAGCTCCGACTCACACATTACTGATGACACCTGTGCTTACATATATTGCAGGACGTTATTTAGAGTCTATACATTTAATATTTTGTGTTTTTTTATAATAACTTATATAATATATTATACCATTCTAGTTCCAAATAGTGTTGTATATTGTTTCTGTATATGTCTAATAAATAGATATAGTGAAGATATATTTATTAAATAAATTGAGAATAATTTAAAATAAAGTCTAAAACTGTAAACTGTAAATTGAAATATTTATTTTTTGCTTATATAATATTTGGCAAAATAATCTGACATTTTTGAAAAGAATAAAATATCATCAAGAGTTTTTGTTTTATAGTACGGTACTTAAGTAAGAAACAAATGTTGATAAATTAAACAAAAAAATTAATAAAGTTTATTGAAATGATGAAGTTAATTAAAGTTTAATTAAACTTTATTATTTAATTGAATTATTTAATTGAAAAATCTTGATATCATTTCCTTTATATTTTCTATTTCTTTCGGATCACCTGATATCATTTATTTTTCAAAAGTGTATATGTACATTACTGCTAGGCGAACATGTGCGTCACTGCGCATGTGTCAGAATTCTCGCAATCTGGGATTATTGCCTGGGGACTCAGGGAATAAATATTTTGGCGCATGCGCAAACTTTGACTATCGTTCGCCACTGAAATTGTAAACTATAGTTATATGTGCTATAGTGAGATAAAGATAGGTGATCGGAAAGCGAAAGAGAAAAAGAGAGAGAGAGAAAGTCCGGTCTCTTTGATCAATCCTCGGAAGCAAACTCGGGGATGTTCGCTATCCACATAAAGCAGATTACACGCTGTGAGAACTGATAACTAATGTGGGTTGCTCCATGGTGGGTAGCGGTTTGAGGTTAGGTCTCGTTCAAACCGCGACACATGAATTATCGATTGGGCATCTTCGGCGTTTAGCGTGACCAAAACAATATCGTAACGGTCGTTATACGAGGACGATTGTGTGTTTATATATAACAATGGTGAAGAACAAACCGGCGTATCGTAGGTTAAGCTCACGCCGGGGTTCCCTCAACGTTGTAACATCAGTGAATGACACCCGGGAGCAACATTGATTCAACGAAGATGAGCCGGCTATGGAACTACTTAGTATTTCAGGCATGGATGTCCTACCTAATGGCAGCCGGCTTGTTGGTGTTCACCAGTGGCTTTCTCCTGAATCGCGTCTCCAGGCCGGAACGGGCGGAGTGTACGCGATGCACGGCGGCCGATGATTGCGACACGGTAAACATCTTCCAGGACACGGAGCACGCCGCTAAAATATGCTTGGAGCGCAGAGCGCGAGTTGTGGTCTTGATTGTCGATGCCTTGAAATACGAATTTGCAGAATGGTATGAGGATAATGCTGCCGTGTCCTCTTACCATCGTAACAAGATACCCGTGATTCATGAACTATTACAGAAATATCCGTCGCATTCCCGCTTGTATAAATTTATAGCCGATCCACCTACCACGACTATGCAGCGCTTGAAGGGTCTTACTACAGGTTCCCTACCCACTTTCATAGAGGTAGGATCAAACTTTGCCTCAGAATATATCCAAGAAGACAATCTCATTGACCAAAATGCCATTGGAGGTATTGTTTTTATGGGGGATGACACGTGGACCAATCTATTCCCGGATAAATTCATGAGGCAATTCCCGTCACCATCGTTCAATGTCTGGGATCTGGACAGTGTTGATAAGGATGTCCAATATCGCATTTTCTTTGAAATGAAGAAAAAAGACTGGTCGCTACTGATAGCGCATACACTTGGAGTTGATCACTGCGGACACAAGCATGGCATGCAACATCCAGAAATGACAAGGAAATTGAATGACACAAATACGCTTATAAAAGAGATTGTAGCATCGCTTGAAAAAGATATGATGCTTTTCGTTGTTGGGGATCATGGTATGACTGATACAGGAGATCATGGTGGTGACAGCTCTAATGAAGTTGAGGCTGCAATGTTTGTTTATTCAACAACTCCACTATTAAAGGGATTTACGATCAAGGATGACAATAGTGTAAATCAAATTGATCTCGTTCCTACTTTGGCATCCATCCTTGGCACACCAATTCCTTTTTCTAACTTAGGATCTGTAATACTTGACTGTTTGCCAAGTAAAGTAGAAGAGACTGCTAGTCAATTATTATATCCGTTACATTCTTTATGGAGAAACATTGCCCAAACGAAAAAATACATAGAGATATATTCCGCAGATACATATTTGTTTTCAAAAGAGCAACTGCAGCATTTACACTACATATATAGTCTTCTCTCTGAACGAGTTAAACAAGTTGATAATTTTGAAAAGCTAGAAATCTTCATTCGTGATACCAAAGGTTATTTCAAATTATTAAAAGATACTTGTTCTGAAGTATGGATTCAATTTGATTCTGGTTTAATTTCAAAGGGTTTACTTTTGATGTTTTGTTCCTTGTTTTTCTTTTATCTTTTCATCACTGGTATTCCCGAAAATCGTATGTGTGATATATTCAAATCTTCATTTTTACAATGTGCTATCATAGCCAATTTAGTTACTGCAGCAATTACCATATGTTTGTTCTTATTGAATATTTTAGAAGAATTGAGGAATACGATTTTTTTTGTTACTGGAGCTGTTTCTATTAGTTTATTAGTTATAGTAATTGCTCAAAATTGGGATGTTATATCAATGTGTTGGTACGATCATCGTCGAATTAAGTTGTTGACCTATGTTGCTAGAATAATACTTCTTCTAACGGTATGTGGGCTATTCTCCAACAGTTACATAGTTGAAGAAGACAAAGTGTTATCCTTTTTATTTATTACACTTATTTGTTTGATCATATTTGACTTAAGAAAAATGATTCCGATATTTCTTCCGAGAGGAAGACAAGATTTACTTCAAAGCCATCAAAATCAAACTTCAGAACGATTTTATTAATTATTGGTTTATTATCGTGTGCCTCGGTGAGGCTGTCGCATTATTTCTGGCGTTGTAGAGAAGAGCATCTACAACGGGAATGTTCTATATTTGCAACTGGAAAAGTTGGTTGGTCCACAATGCCGAATAATTGGGAGCGTGCTCTGCTTGCTGTTTTACTCGCCTCAGTTATCCTGGCATCATACGTGGTGATTGTTAGATTATGGTTGCAAAGTTGTGGAAATCTCACAGGCTTTGCCCCGAGCGTCATGGTGGGACAATATTGTCCGATTATAATAATCGTTTGCATGGGTTGCTATTGGATTCTACAAAAGCTTCCGAAGTTCGTCAAGCCAAAACTCGCGCTGTCCTGGGAGATCAATACATTACCTAACGTAATTTATTTCTTCTGTATCCTCGCAATTTTCGTCCTTTATTATCGTCCACTTAGTATATATTTGCTGCCAAAAAAGAAGGAATCCATCGATGTCTATCATGATGAAAATATAGTGCCTCGGTTATTTGAAAAGATAAAAGACTCCATTTCGCGTAAGCGAATAGATACTGATGAACTTCCAGTCATTTATGGTTTCGGGACTGCCTATAGCGCTGCATTTATTTCATTAAGCGTATTCCTCACACTTTTATACGCATTATTGTTGGGAGATACTCTATCACCTGGTACATTTTTGATGTTTATAACGTGCGCTTGTATATTGGGTTTATCTGCGATAGAGAGATATAAAAATGCTAATAATATTTGTAAGTACATACAACAGAATCTATATATTATATGTATGTATAGTTAGACCTTCAATTTTTCTAATGTCTTGTATATTATCATATTGCCTACAGCTGAACTAGTTGACGTATCAATGCCTGCACTACTTTGCTGGTTTTTACTGGCTGAATATTTCTTTTACGGGACTGGCCATCAAGCAACGTTTCCAACCATTCATTGGCATGCTGCCTTTGTAGGAACTGGTGGTCACTTTTACGGAAACTTAGTGTCAGCAATTTTAATTGGTGAGTATTAATGCAATCTCTATGCAATCTCTAACATTTCTATTGATTAAAATAATTTTTTAGGTATCAATACGTTTGGATCGCATATTATACTGGGTGCAACATTACCATTATTAGTGATCGTGCCATTCACATTGCATCGGGTATTTCCAAAATTTCTCAAAGCGAAGTTTCTCGATGACATAAAGAGAGGGGAACTTCTTCTGTTTGAACAAGATTCTGCTTTTCATGCTGCAATTTTTGCGATTGCGGGAAAATACACGTTGCTTCATGGAATCCGAGTATGTTGCACAAAACATAGAACATTTAAAATTTAGATTGTATCTTTTTTCTCTATGAGAAATTCATGCAAGCATATATCTGTATTATCAATTAAATATTATATTTGTTTTTTAGACTTTCGGCAGCATGCTCGCGGCAACTATACACTGTCGACATTTAATGGTTTGGAAGATATTCGCACCAAAATTAATATTCGAGGGATTAGGATTCCTGGTAACGTTGGGTAGTATATTAGCATCGTTTTACATGGTATTCCGTATTGATCAACAAATGGAATATCTTATTACCAGAGTCACAAAAGGCAGATGATAGTGACTCACTCTTAAGGAAGTATAGTACAATCAATAGCAAGGTACCAAAGTCATAAGAATACCTCGCTTTTGTGACGAATCCGAAAGGCTCGTTACTTACGAATATAGATCGTATTTCTAGTAATTCGAGCTATAAAGATATGAAATGAGCAACAGATAAGTCTATGCTTATCACGATACTGCCAATATTTCCACAATTTTGTATGAAAGTGTAACAAGGGTAAAAACGAAGTCAGGTATATTATCTAGCAAGTACTATAAATAACATTTTCGTACCGAAGTAAACAAACTTGTCTCTCCACTTCTTTAAGATAATATTAATGTTAAATAATAATGTCCACTTCTTATAGAACGCTATGTCGCGTAACCAAATTGATGCTTCCTAACACACTAACGCTACCCTGCGTGCAATGCATTGCTGATTAAAGACGAACAAAGCAACGCACTTGATGCAGGATTGCGTCCGTGTGCCGCGATCTGTCTGTGTGACTGATGAGTACATCAGCATATTACTGCTATTATTAGAATATGATTAGATAGAAAATAGACACTAGATAGCTTAGAAAGAACATTCACTTTTCATATTCTTCGGTACATAAAAAAGTATTATGTATTATGATTGATGAAAAAATGAACGGTACAATAAATCCAGCATTTTAGATTAATTCTTTATATATCATATCTTGATTCTGTATCGCGGATAATTTTAAATAATTCTGTTACATTGTTATTTTCTTTTTACTTTTTCTGCCAAATATATTTTATTGGAAATAATTAATATCGTACACGTTTATTTATACATTTTGAATAACAACATTTTCCAAAGATTTTTTATCGAAATCATGTAAATATATAATGAAAGAAATACTCCTGGCTGAATGGCCTAATGATGGTTATGATGGTGCCTACGATCTTGATATTCATTTTTGTGATACTGCATCCAGTCAGCCCATTTGTTTTCATAAGTGTTAGAGTCCTGCGACAGATGAACAAATGCCCGCGATATTCGTAATTCAGAGACATTTTGCACGTATTTAATTGTAATTAATACTTTGAAAGCCTGGGACTTGAGAGTTAGGCAATTTAGGCATTTGAATCTGAAAACAAATTAAGTTATATTGTATAACTTTGCGCGGATATTAATTGTTCGATTAAACAAATTGTTCGAGAAAACAAAAAGATCTTTGGTGAAAAATGTTAAATAATGATATAATTATTAATCTAATCTCCATTTTAAATTTAATAATTTTGTATATAGGCTTCCAAAGTATTATAGCATATTATATATTATGATACGAAATTGTATATGTGCACATTGCCTTTTGTTAAATTATTGAAGAATTAATTTTGTTGTTTTGTTATAAAATTTAATTTAATTTTTATGTTTTCTTAGTGAATTCGAATAAGTAGACAGATAGATATAGAACTTTTAGAGACAGATTTAAAAAATGATAAAGTAGCTAGAAATCTCTGATATAAATATATTTCTTTTTTCATATTTGATTTGGAAAAAATTTTTGTATATTTTATAAACATCGCAATTTATAGATTAAAAAGGAGAAAGAAAATGCAAAATGTTGGCGTTAATAATAACATTAAATAACAAAAATAACAAAATAATAGTCCGTGATAATATATTATTATAATAATAATTAAAACATTAAGAAGAGAATGATATAAACCTATTATTATTGTCCAATTAATATAGATTTATTTCATATATATAATATATATATATATATATATATATATATATATATAATAATATTATTATT